TCCGAATTTATTGTTTTTTTATGGGACATACTTGACAGAAAAAAATTGAACAAAATGAAATCATTATTATTGTTAGAGACTTCAATATAGATGTTTCTAAAAATTCATTTTATTCTACAAAACTCAAGAAAATGATCTTCTGTCATGACTGTTATCAACAGATTAATGTATTTACAAGGGTGAGCAGTTTTTCTAGAGTCTTCAGTAAAAACGATGTCACACTTTTAAGCCTTAGGAACTCGTCTTTTTGCTGTCTGGTTTTGTCAGGTTTGGATATAAAAGCTACTGTTATTGCCTTTATGCTTTTGGTATATACAAATACATTCCCCAGTCCATTGGCTTGAGACCCTAGTAGGTTAGTGTGTTACATATTGCAAATCACTACTAGTGATTTCTGAATGATCATTCCAAAAACAATGGTACCCATCTGCGAAACCTATACAGGGTTCCAGAATTCTGTCATCAATACACAGTCACTACTTATTTGGTACATAGTTTAAATTAATCTGCCCAGCAGGATCTGTATAAACAATTCCAAATCGAACTGAGTTTAAATATGTAGTTCTTTTGTTTGTTTTGTTGTATCTTTTGCTCTATGACTTATGCTCATGGATTTTGAGTTGTATTTTGGTTGGTGCAGACTTCTTGAAAGTGACACAATATCATCTAATTGGGTGTTTGAACTACCCTGATCCGCTGATACTGAAAGTGGACAAACAAAAATATGGGATGACGAAGCAGGTAGTACAGAATTGATATCCAATAAAAAAAGATGAGTCAAAGCTCCCTCTCAGTAGATGAACCATTTGAATATCACTTTCTCTGAGCATTACAATTTCGTTCTTAAAATATTTAACAAATTTTTGATAATTAGGCTTCGTTGAATCCATTAAAGTTTCAAAATGTTTTGGAAGAGCAGCAAACTTACTGTCAGCATCAAGATCATATACAGATGGTTGACAATGGTTACAATCAGATCTCTTTTGTGTAGAGTCAGCAACTTTGGAAATATCACTCTTACATTTGTTCCGTGGTTGTGTGGATGCGTGTGTGATAAACTTATTTTCCACTGAAACAAAATAAAAATAAAACTAATAATAAAATCGAATAAAGCATAGAAAAAACTGTTAATAATATTAATTGTCGAAGGGACTGATTGATTACTAAACTAAACACACATTCTTTGTTTTAAAAGCCAGACGATAAACTCAAATATTATCGGCCTGGTCTCCTGTGATGTCATTGCTTACAATATAATATTTCGTTTCCCATACATGAAAAATGCAACGTCTGCAAGGTTAAAGAAGAAATAAAGAAATAAATATATTTTTGTATAAGTATCAAAAACTTTGAAAATGTAAATTTTAATATGAGATGTGTTATTTAATTTTGGAATAGAAAAGTTATAATTATTCGTAATTAGCATGTCGAAAACAACTCATAATACAATTAAAATAAACAAGTGCGTATCTGGACAATTTGAACAGCAAATATACGGATAGTAGCCCCAACAAAAAGATTAATTGTTATAAATTTAAATGTAGCTTTGTTACAAAACACAGACCATAGCCAGTTCAAGTTGTAATGTTCTAAATTGTCACAAATAATGGAAAAACAGTTTTTCATTTATATACAGGGTGATTGATTAGTGTGAGGAAGCTCAGTAGATCTGTTATAGTAAAAATTACAAAAAAAAGTTATTAACAAAAATTGTAGGCAGCTTTAAACTCCATATTTTAAAATTAGTTACAATCCTACAGGGTCTTCCATAAGATGGTGGCAGACCAAACTTATGTTTTTTTAAATGAAACACCCTGTATTTTATTTTAAATTTGAAATCTGCTTCACTTCCACATTACAACAATGTAAAGTTTTATTATGTTATACCGGGTATTTAAAAAGTTATAATCAATATTACCTGAAAATCGTATCAAGTTTAACTCCCTGTATAATTAAAAAGGATTGTAGGAACATTGATATATTGCAACCATAGTTTTTTAATAATTGTTAAAAACTATAAAACATATTCATTTTCATAATATTCGTTAAATTAAATACAGGGTAAGTCAAAATGCAAGTACATTATTTTCTTGGTAATTTTAAATAGAACACCCTGTATTTTATATCACTATCGAAAAGAACTAATATCGTACTTCATATTTTATGGAGTACTCCCTATACCTAAAGTTATTAGTTTTAAAGATATTTTTATTTTTCCATCAAAGTATTAATTTGATAGATATTTTAACGTTTACCAATAATTATTGTGAGTTGGCCATGATTGATTTGTCAGAAACTGACAGTTTGACATTTATATTTATTAATTCAGTATTGGGGTACACCGTAAATTAGCAACAATTATTATTTAGTAATTCAGTAATTGATTCAATTTAAATTAGCAATAATGAATTTTACTACTGATGAAATGGTAGATATGATCTGGATATTGGGGGAATGCAATAAAAATTCATTACTATCAGCTAGAATTTATCAAGAACGGTTTCCAGATAGGCGACAACCTAGACAAGATATATTTGAAAAATTGAAAGATCGATTTAACCGCACTGGTTCAGTGAATTATGAAAAACATGAACGAACAAAAACTAGTGTGACAGAGGAAAACGAAATGAGTGTGTTGATGGCGGTTACAGAAAACCCACACACAAGCATAAGGACTATTTCCAATGAACAAGAACTTAGTTACTACTCTGTTCAAAACATTCTATCTAAAAACAAGATGCACCCTTATCATATTCAAAAGCACCAAGAAATAATTAATGATGATTTTCAGAAACGAATAGTATTTTGTGAATGGGCCTTAGAAAAAATTAATGATCAGAGAGATATTTTTGATTATGTCCTATTTGGTGATGAAGCTACATTCCATCGAAGCGGTTCTTTTAATAGGCATAACTTTCACTACTACTCAACAAGTAATCCATACCACATAGTAACACATAGTCAAACAAGATGGTCTCTAAATGTGTGGGGAGGTATCGTCGGTAACCATGTAGTAGGACCATATTTTTTTGAAGATAATTTAAATGGTGAGATTTATTTAGATTTTATTGTAAATCAGTTACCGATATTATTAGAAGAAGTTCCACTTAATATACGTGAAAAAATGTGTTTCTACATGACGGTGGTCCTGCGCACCACAACGAATTAGTACGTGGTGAACTTAATAATCAGTTTGGGTAAAGATGGATCGGAAGGGATGGACCGGTAAGGTGGCCCCCAAGGTCACCAGAATTCAATAAAATGGACTCATTTTTTTGGGGTTACGTTAAGAACGAAGTGTATAAAATACCCCCAACAACAAGGGATGATATGAAAAATAGAATCCGAATTGCATTTCAAAATATTTCTTTACAAATGCTTAGTAATGTAACCATCTCTTTCAATTACCGTTTTCAAGCATGCATAGATGTTTTGGGAGGTCAGTTTGAACACCTTACTTAAGTAAGATAAGTTAAACTTACTGTTGTTTTTAATTTTTCTATGTGTTGTTATATATTTTTTTTATTTTCCGTAGGTTATTTTTTATAAATTTTATTTTAAATAAATTGTTTTCTTTTCTGTGTCGGTATTTCGTTACTAAATTATTAAACAATAATGTCAAACTGTCAGTTTTTGACAAACCAATCATAACCAACTCACAATAATTATATTGTGAGTTGGTAAACGTTAAAATATCTACCAAATTAATACTTTGATGGAAAAACAATAATATCTAGAAAACTGATAACTTTAGGTATAGGGAGTACTTTATAAAATTTGAAATACGATATTATTACTTTTTGATAGTGATATAAAATACGGGGTGTTCTATTTAAAATTACCAAGAAAATAATGTATTTGCATTTTGACTTACCCTGTATTTGATTTAACGAATATTATGGAAACGAATATGTTTTATAATTTTTAACAATTATTTAAAAACTATAAAAACTATGGTTGCAATAGATCAATGTTCCTATACTCCTTTTTAATTGCACAGGGAGTTAAACTTGATACGATTTTCAGGTAATATTGGTTATAACTTTTTAGATACCCGGTATAACATAATAAAACTTTACATTTTTGTGATGTGGAAGTGAAGCTGATTTTAAATTTAAAATAAAATACAGGGTGTTCCTTTTAAAAAAACATAAGTCTGCCTGCAATTTTTGTTAATAACTTTTTTTAGTAATTTTTACTATAACAGATCTACTGAGCTTCCTCACACTAATCAATCACCCTGTATAACAACCAAGTAAAAGTAGCTACTAACACACATGAACTGATACTTTTTACTCTTAAAACAAACAACTGTTTATTCGAAGAGGGTAGTGTTTTTATTAAATTTTACTTATTATGATTTTTAGTTTAAATTTCATAAAGCAAATAATGGTTCACATTTTTTAATGTTACTTTAGGTACAAAAGAAAGTTAGTACTGAATATGAAGAAGTTAAAATGATTAAATCGATGCTACAAAATTTAAGACTAGAGACAAGCTCAGAAGTTCCTATTGGAGCCAGAAGAAGGGATGAACCTGTTAGAGATTTAGGAGATATGAATAATGCTGATCCATTTTCACAAAATGATCCAGATGTTTGGCCTCCACCTACACCTGTTGATCACAAGTAAGTGCGAAGAAAAATATATGCAATTTTATAAGTTAGAATTATTTAGACAAAGTAGTAAACCAGATTTATGTTTGCTGTAAATTTATTTTGAACTTAAAAATTATCTTGAATCAACTTGTAAACTTGTTGAAATTTGCGAAACATATTGTAAAACATTGTCTACAATTTGGTTCTTTCTAGCTAAAATGTGTAATACCAAAATGCTAGACCTAGCCACCTAATGTAAAAATTTCTTTTAGTAGTATTCCAAAACCGAGACCTTCAGTTGCAAGAAAGTTAGAAACCAAAAAGTTACCACTCCCGTCAAGATCAGGCTCATCTGCAGCAAGAAAATCTGAAATATCTAGACATTCTAGGTCTGTTAAAAAGGATGATAGACCCACGTCTTCCCGTTCTGAGCGCGATCAGAAGGAATCAGAAAGTGGAGACAAAACTGAGAAGCCTGAGACGGAAGAAGAAAAAAAAATTTGAATGTCATATCTTGGATAGAGAATTAGCCGATACTTTGGAAAGGGACATTATTCAAAAAAACCCTAATGTACATTGGGATAATATAGCTGATCTTCAGGAGGCCAAAAGGTTGCTGGAGGAAGCTGTCGTATTGCCTATGTGGATGCCCGACTTCTTTAAAGGTAATTCATGTATTTAATTCATCCTAACAACATTAATAAAGTATTACAGTTTTGTAATATACATACAGATTGAACCAAATTAAAACGGAACATACAATTTAATACATGTCTGTTTGAACTGCATTTGAAATAGTGGACCAATATAAAACTTGGACAAAAATAAATCCATACCTGGGTATAGACATTGTATAAACTATCGTTCAACTATCTGTCTCACAACAATGTTGTTTGCGTAAGACGGGTTTGTCTAAGGAAACGATAATAGTTCAGGAAATGAATCTCGAAAAAAGTTAAAACCTCGCAATTTTTTCGTCCTGCATGTATCCAGTTGAAATTTTAACAGAAGGTAGGTGATAGCCCAAGGATCAAAATCTATATCGAACCGAAGTGCGCTAAAGGGTTTAGGGGTGAAAACTACCCCTAATTGTCAAAAATTATAAAATAACATATTAAACCTGAATATGGGTAAGATTTGGTTTGAATTAGTTAAATAATGATTATTTTATACTTTTGAATAGAGTTCCATCATATTTCAACCCTTAAAAAGCAACCATTGTTAGAGGTTAATGTAAAAAAATTACTAATTCTAAAAAAATGATTTCGCCTTGGATCGATTTGGATAAAAATTTTAATTTAAGCTCAATTCGCCCGCTGCTTTATAGTTTATGTCATGTCGACGAACCCTGATTGTTCTAAGGGGTGAAAACTACCCGTAATTGTCAAAAATTATAAAATAACATATTAAACCTGAATATGGGTAAAATTTGGTTTGAATTAATTAAATAATGATAGTTTCGTGCTTTTGAATAAAGTTCCATCATATTTCAACCCTTAAAAAGCGACCCTTATTAGAGATTAATATAAAAAAATTAGTAATGCGAAGAAAATGATTTCACCTTGGAACGATTTGCATAAAAATTTGGACTTAAGCTCAACTCACCCTCTGCTTTATAGTTTATGTCATGCCGATGAACCCTGATTGTTCTTAGGGATGAAAACTACCCCTAATTTTCAAAAATTGTAAAATAATATTATAAATCTTAAGATGAGTGAAATTTGGTTTGGATTAGTTAAATATTGATTTTTTTATACTTTAAAATACAAATTCATACATTTTCAAACCTTAAAAATCAATTGTTATGAGAGCTATAGGTGAAAACAATTTTTTGCCAAAATTTTGCAACTTTTCAACTTTTGAAAATCACCCTTTACAACATTGCAGTTTTTATAAACTAATTTATAAGATATAAATTGAAAAAAGTAGAATTAAATACAAAAAAATTTATCAACATAAAAAGGCACCATATATTCTTACACATTTACATAAATAGTAGAAAATATTTACATTTATAGGTAAAACAATTATAATATTAATTTTATTCGTCATCAATTACATCTTCATCGTGATCTATGTCATCCTCATCTTCAATTATTGGTGGACTATTATTGCACCCTTCACCTGAGCACCCAGAACAAGTAGAGTTACAGTATAAACCAACTTTTCTGCACCCACATGAAACACCGCATCCTTTTTTGCATTGCCAAAAAATAATTTTCAAAAGTTCATCGAGTGCAGGTTGTTTGTTCATGCGTACGGGTAATAACAAACCATCTTTGGAATACCATCCCCAATCTGTTGCTCTAATATTTTCATTGCCAAGCCATAGACATATGAGCAGATGTTTTATTATGTTGTATGGGATTTCAAAATAAGAACGCTTAAAATTTCGAATGTATAACGCCCCACTAGCTAATATACCGGTTTTGTAGATTATTATGCTCCGAAATGTACTGTACTATACTAATAGAATTTTCAGGAAAAAAATTCACTGGTTTTTTTAACGTATTTCTTTTAATTTTTAACGATAGAGTGTTTCTTCAAAAACGATTTGTAGAGGTTTTTAAGAGCTACAAGGATCTGTGAATTAAATCTTTTTGGAACCCTTGGTTTTTAAATGGGGTGAGTTTAAAGGGCTCGAAAAAGATGGTGCTTGATCGTAAATCGATGCTTTAAACGGCTATATCTCGCCAAATATTCATTGTACAACAAATCTAAATGAAGGATAATTTTAGTCATTAAAAAAGCTACAATTTGGTAATTTGTATTTTTTTCATATATTCAGTATTTTCAGGCATATTTAAAAAAAGAAGGGTAAAAAATATGAAATTGTAAATCGTTTCTCGCTTTAAGCTGTACTTTTTATAACACAAAGCATTTTAAATGGGTCAAACTTCTTGGACGTATTAACAATACATGTACAAAGGGAATTTCAGAAGGGTAAAGATCGATTTTAATTATGGAGGAGGTTAGGGTGTTGTTTCGATTTTTTTGTAAAAAATGAGGTATTGACCTTATTTTCATCATAACTCACTCAATTTTTGAGCTAGAGTCTTTTTTATGATAGGTCTATTTATGCTCTTTAAAAAAGGTTTTGTGAGTTTTCTTCCAAAAATGCATCATTTTCCCGATATTTGATTTTGAATCTTTCAAATTTGGCATTTGAAGAAAACCGCTGAACATTGATAGGCCGTATTTCAGTTCCTATTATATCCCAAAAACATTTTAAAAAATGAATTGTATTTGTCTTTTTAAAAGCTACAAATTTGTTCTCTACAATTTTTTTGATAAAATGCACCATTTTCGAATTATTCGCGAAAAATCGATTAAAAACGTGGATTTTTTCGTCTAAAAGTTATTACTTTCAATCGCGGATAACTTGAAAAATATCATTTTATAAAAAAAATGTATAGCACATTTTTTGTTTAGAATCACTTTTTTAATCGAAACCTGTAGTTAAAACGTAAAAAAAAATTTCACCCCGGAGATGGGGTGGCAACCACCCCCTAGGCTTTGGCGCACTTTGGTTCGATATAGATTTTGATCCTTAGGCTATTACCTACCTTCTGTTAAATTTCAAGTCAATCCAGGGAGCACGAAAAAATTGCGAGCTGAAATGCTTCATTTCCTGGACTATAACTGGTTTGACAGCATAAATCGTAGATTTATGTGTAGCTTTCAATTTTTGAGTTCAGAATCCAGCAGCCCGCTGAAGTATTGGATTTTTATAATATAATTATTTGACAATATTTTGTTGCACCTACAGCAGAATTGAGCCGAAATACATTATATTCCTATGTTCCGAATTTATTTCGTTCAATCTGTATACAGATTGAACGAAATAAATTCGGAACATACGAAATATTATGTATTTCGGCTCAATTCTGCTGTAGGTGAATGGCCAACAAAAGGTTGTCAAATAATTATATTATAAAAATCCAATACTTCAGCGGGCTGCTGGATTCTGAACTAATTCAAGAACTCATTCATAGGTGGTCAAACCACCTATCGCTTCCTAAAGCCGGCCACTCACGGTATAGCGGGGTCGTTCGACATAATCGGACAGAGGCGTTGTTCAATTTGTTGGTATATCTGGTGCGCCCACACACCATACTGCGCCGCAGTATTTGTTCGGTTCTTGACCATGTCAAATCAAACAATCATTTTAGCTTCCCTTACTTTGTGTATAACTAAGCTTAAAAAGGAACCTAAAATAAAACGTAGATTCTGGTGCAAGAATCCAAGATTTTGGTCCAAAATAAATCTCGTCTGCCCCTGCACCCGATTTACTGGACTGCAATGCTAATTTTAATTCTCTTTTATAGGATGTTCTAAAATTGTTAATTTTTTTTTCTTACATACTCTTCATTCGCATCTTTGTTTACTTCTTGGAACTTTAAAACTAGAATGTCCATTGCCTGTTTTCGGGCGTTTCTATCGTTATACGTTTTACCTTTTATTCGCTATAAGCATTCTTGTTTTTTATATAATTTAAAAAACTCTCTTAAAAAATTCTCGCTAAATCAAGCCATTTCGATTTTCTATAATATGATCAAAGCAAGTGATTAAAAACGAAGTTGAACAACGCCGCTGTATCGTGAGTAGCCGCCTTTAGACAAGCCCCTCTTTCGTTTATCGGAGATGGAGATTTTGAGCGGTGTTGCCAATATCATTCCACTAGGTGTTTCTAAAATAACTACAAACTTCTGAAATAACTACAAACCATTAAGTTTATTTTTGTTATTAGTCTGTTCTAGTAGGTTGGTAAATACAATGAAAAATATAGGCAAATATCCGATTTATTTAAAGATACGAAGAAGATATAACTCTCAAAAAGATCCGCAAATCGGATTATTACAAGGCGATTGGCAATATTGACTTGAGCTGCGCTGTAGACTATGGTCCGTTCGAAAAAGGAGACGGACAGTTGAACTATATTTTATACAATGTCTACCACCGGGTATGGATTTAGTTTTGTCCAAGTTTTATATTGGTCCACTATTTCAAATGCAGTTCAAACAGACATATATTAAATTGTATGATCGGTTTTAAATTCGTTCAATCTGTATATACACATATATATATATATATATATATATATATATATATATATATATATATTATATATATATATATTATTGTGATATTCAAAGTCTTAGTGCGCCAAGCAATAAATTAGCTAATTAATTAATTAATTAAAATTATTTAAATGATATGATTATGATTCTATCACACTTTTTAATTCTCTTATCTCAGGGTTATATTCGTGCTTCAATATCTATGCTTTACATGTGAAAGGTAAGGTCCAAAGAATACCGGAATAATAAAAAACATACATGATATAACATTATATATTGAAATAAAAATAATGAAATAAAATTCACACTCAAATGTTTTCAATAAACAATATCTCATATAATGATTCTCAAAATTTTGTTCTACGTACGTGAACCTTCAAAATTAATGGTACAAACAATATTAGTTAAAATCTCAAAATCCCAATTAGTATTCTAAATCTCCTAATCAAAATATTTATATCTTTTCTAAAGTAATTGTAAAAATTGTGTTATCAATAAAAGAAAAAACTGCAGAAAAACAAAACTATCTCTCTCTGATGATGAGTGGTCCAAATCCTTGTTCCTTGTAGTCTATACTATCTATTCTTAGCAGCTCCCTAGGTAATCAGCAATCTTACAACAAATTGTTGCAAGTTTATCGTCCTTAATGATCTCCTTCAAATGCACGAATCGTTCAAATTATGCTAGCCTCTTCTCCTCTCGATAAACTGAATCTCTCGTTGGCCTGAGTGAAAAATGACTCTTGGAATATCTTCTCTTTACGATAAACTGAATCTCTCGTTGGCCTGAACAGTGACTCTTGGAATATAAGTAGAAAAATATAACTTACAATCTTTTACTGGATCAGCTTCTGTCAGATACACTAACTACACGAAAACTCACAAACTTTCACTGCTACTGCTTCCTACCTCTGGGAAACTACCCGAGAACAACGGCCGTTCACCTTGCACCCTTGGAAACCAACTGACTATATTTTTTTTCTTCAAAAACTAACTAAAGTCTCATTCTCAAACCAACCATCCCACCTTTTTCAATCTCATCCAATCAAAACGCGTCATACATCTCCCATTTCTTCATTTCGATAACACAAACAAATTTTTACCTACAATTATAAAATTTCCGAACATTATTTACAAACTAATCTTTTTCTACAAATTCTTATGAACTAACAAAAACATACCTTTCTAAAATCTATTCTATTGTCCTAATTACTGCACAAATTTATTTGGAAAACCCGCTTCCATTGTCTAGAATTTCACTTAAGCTTATTCACGTCACTCAAATATATTTTACAAAGAAAATAATTTATGCATATCTTACGTTTTGTTTAATACAAGTAATCCAAAGATAATGGACTTTCATTCTTCGAAACGTTTGTAGTTTATTATTCGACTTATCTGAATTATTTTAATTTTTTGAACTTTGAAATATAATCAAACCAATATTTTTTTCGATTATTTTGAAAATAATCGAAAAAATATTTATCGAGGTATATACAGTATTTTATCGAGGACTGTATGAGTGCAATTGGAGTCGAAGACATACCGTCTCAGGACTAGCAACTTCAACGTGGAGTCATATGTCGCCATGTTACCTAATCCATCTATAATCTTAAATCATTATAACATATTTTTAAAACTAAATGTAATTAAACATCTGTTAACGGGTTTTTACCCATATATTTACTCTTGGTGGCTACATTCATGTACTCCTAGACACTGATGATGGAACATGGTTTCCGAAAACGTTTTGTCTTTTTAACTTAGCCCGTTTGGGCCGTAAATATATACCTATTACAAAGGATTTTTAATTAAATTTTTAATACATGGTATACAGCCAACTACAGGAACGTAGATTCCTTGTGGATTTTTAGCTTATCTTACTTCGTGTTTGGCGGGAAGGGCGTTTATAGATTTTAATATTGGTATATATGTCTTGTTAATTTTCAATCCTTCTATCCGGTTAAAATTATGTGGGTGCTTATATATTTCCACCGCTTCCCGATACAACCGTGGGTAGTACTGTGAAGTTTTGTCCAGCATCTGTGTTTCTTCAAACAGTATTCGATGTTCTCTGCTTCCCAAAGCGTGTTCGGCAACGGCAGATTTGTCGATATGTCGATATGAAAGGCTAATGCAGTTTACCAATGCAAAAAGTTTTACAGCCATTCATCTTACTTCTGAGAATTGGTAGGTTTAGTACGTCGTTTCCTCGTCTATTACACAGTAATTATTAAAACCAGTATTAAGAAAAAACACGTAGATAACAGAAATATCTATCCAAACAAACGATAAAAAGATGTTTATTATACTCGATCGCTGTTCAATTTTATCAATCCAATCTTTTAATTTCTACCGTTGAAGCTAATTAAGTCGGTAACTTGTTGTGTTTAATCTATATTGAAATTTAAATTGATGTAACATTTCTAGGAATAAGAAGACCTTGGAAAGGTGTGCTTATGGTTGGTCCTCCAGGTACTGGGAAAACTATGTTAGCAAAAGCTGTGGCAACAGAATGTGGTACAACATTTTTTAATGTTTCGACATCTACTTTGGGCTCTAAATATCGCGGTGAATCGGAGAAATTGGTTCGATTATTGTTTGAAATGGTAGGTGCACTTGAATATTTTTCCCCAATTGAACTGAAGTTTTCATTTTTTGCATTTTCATTACTCGCCAATTGTCACACTGGTTAAATATACCATTTCTATGGTGGATTTACTCAGCTGAGTCCCTGGTGACAAGTAACATAGTAATTAATATTTGTTTTATTTTGATTAAATTTTGGCATCGGATGAAAGCTCCTATGTAACCAAGTGCTGATAACCAAAAGTAGTAGAAACTTCAAAGTAGAAAAAGTGTTCCATGCAGTTTCTTAACAAATAAAACTTAATCAACTAAAATAAAAACAAAGGTGTAAATATTTATTTTTTAATGTTTAGAGCATTTCATTTTTAATTTAACCCATTGACTGCCGGGCATGAAATAATTAATTTTTCATTACGCCAAGATTTCACACATTATTTTTCTTTTCAGGCCATTATAGAAAAAGTTGATAAGTATTGATTATTTTATTTGAGTATTAAAGCAGTATATGTGTACAGGGTGTCCCAAATTTCTATGTTTTGCAGGGTATACCGAAAACTGGAGGAGATAAAAAAAGTGGTTAAGATGTCATGACTTCTTTTTTCGGTAAAGTAACCATTGCCTAATAAAATCATCAATAGCTTCCTACATTAGCGAGATACATGGAGATTATTTGGACGACTTTCTGCAGTTAAAAAGTTATAAAGTTAAAGTTTCTGCGACAAAAAAAAAATTGTAGCTCATCTAAATTTATTTGACAAAAGTTCTTAAGTGGGTTAATACATTAGAATTATGTTTTTTCAAAATGTTAGTGTTAAAATAATAGTGCATCTATGCCTATATATTGTTATGATTTTGTATTTTTGATTTTAATTTATTTACTTGAAACAATCACAAAAATATACTTTCTCGTTATCAATGTCCTAAAAAATAAACTTCTGATATTTCTTATGTTCAGTGAGTTCAAAGTTTTCTAGTTGTATTTATCGGGATAGGAAAAACAAAGGATAATAATAAAAAGTATAATACATAAAATACAGATATTTTTTATTTTATAAAAAAAAACAATTATTAAATTTGCCGTTATCTTTTCAATCAGCGAATATGCATGTAATGAAATTAATACAAAAAGAAAATTTTAATTCTTATTTTCTTCTTGAGACAAAACAATTTGAAACTAATTTAAATTTGGATACCTTTATAAACTTTTATCTTCCTTATATTTAAAAAATCTATTTTATTATGGAAACAAAACTTTAAAACATTTAATAAATGTAAAAAGGTCTAATCATGCTTTAAACTGGTAACAACAATGAGGTAAACAAATCGCATTTAAGATTTACACACCTTTCAACTTGAAAAAGGAAAATATCTGACCTTTCTTCCCTGGATTGTTTTAGGACCACACAAAGAATTGTCCACCTTCCACAGCAATGTGTTCTTCCACCTTGCGCCTCGGCTTCTTGTTTCAGTATCTGCTCCTTCAGCCAATTTAACTGACTTAATTTAACCTCCTGACTCAATTCTCCAACACTTAACACACGAAAATCACTTCTTCAAACATTCATATAACTTCTTCGTGACCCAAGGATCTCTTTTCTCACCTGGTGCCACAACTATTTAACACGTATTCCAGAAACTGCACACTTTAGATTCAAGGATTTCTTTACATCGACTTGCAATCTACTTCTTCCACAATTCTGCTAACAAGACTGGTAACTTTATCCACTTAACAATGCCGGCCTCCAACTCACGAACACACCGCCTGTCGAGACGCAACCTTTCTTTTCGATCACTCAAACATCACTGTCTTCTCGAACCAACAAAAACTCTATCAACCCTCGGTCTGTCGATTTCCCCTTCCAAAAAGATCGTCTCATCACAAAATCCAAATTTGTTTACCACACTTGTTGGAATGCTAATTACCGTTTTCAAGCAAGGAACTTTAATCTTTTAACAATGGTCATTTCCTTGTAAACAAATAATTTTTATACATTTCAAAGATTTTTGCCTTAGTCATAATAGAAGATTTATACAACACAATACCGGACTAATCCTTCAGGTAACAGCTTATTTTCTATAATGTACAAATGGTTTGTCAATAACTCGTTTAGAATGGCTTAGTTCTTTATAAGTCATAAAATTTCGGTACTAATCTATCTATTTACAAATATACAAACTTTCTATCTTAAAATTAATACATATTTTGTCTTCAGATTTCTTAAAAACTTACTTCCGATGGATTCCTTAATTATTTTTGTTCCTTCCGCGTTTGTGGAAGAAGAAGTATAATAAATCCCCGCCTTTGCATATGATAAAAATTACTGAATTATGTAGGGATTTTTCTCTTATGCAAACATTCTTTGTCTCTTATTCATAATATTTATAAACATCGTTGATATTATATATTCCCCTAATCTTGTCTGAATCCAAATGCTTCACAACATAACTATTTATACCATTATCATTGTTTATTACGTAAGGACCCTCAAAAACAGGCATTAACTTTGCGCATACATTGCCAGGGATGTTGGACACTCGCAATGCTCTCACCATAACCTTCTCACCTTTTTGGAAAGTAACTGGTCTTCTTTTCCTATTTTGATCTTGTCTCTGGATATATTTTTCGTTTGCTCTCCGCAATCTCCTTTGCACATCTTCCATTATCTGTGTGTATTCCTTTTGTTTCTTTGTCCTTGCTTCGTTGCCAGATTCATTTCCACTGTTTGTTCTTTCTCCGAAATATCAATTTTCTGTTTCCCATGTTCGTTTTCCTGTTCTCCTTCCTTTTCTTCAGTCAGTTTCATCGTGTTATTTTTGAAATCTATTACTACATGTTTTTCTGCCAGTTCGTCCACTCCTACAATCATGTCATGCGACATGTTTGGCATTATTACACATTGTAATGCATACATTTTTTTATCCAGTCGTACCATCACTCGTATGCCTTCATTTATCGTTGCCAAAATCCGTTTATTCGCACCCACCAAATTTACCCTTGGTATTTTGTATATTAAATTTGTCAACTGTACTTCTTCTATTAATTTTCTGTTTATTAAGGTTATTTCTGACCCGGTGTCTATCAAAATCTTTATTGGTCTATTGTTAATGAAACCATCTACAAATTTTAAATTAACTCCTCTTCTTTCCTCATTATTTCCTGCCAATTTAATGAATTCCTTCGGGTGACAAAAAATTCCTGCCTGGTTTTTTGTTTTTAGTGGGTGCTTTCGTGAAAAACCGACTGTTGTTCTTCCGTATTTCTTCTCTCATCTCTATTTCTTTCATCCTCATTTTCTTCTATTTGTGTATGATTTACCTCTCTTCTATTTTCTTTTGGTCTGTCATATCCGTTTCGGTTTCCACGATATTCCTGTTCATTTCGTCTATTGTAATTTCTGTTTTCTGGATATGTGCGGGTGTTATTTCTGTTTTGATTTTCTCGATATCTGTCTTCATTCCATGGCCGATTTCTGAAATCATCATTTCCTCTTCTATTTTCCCGATTCTCGTTTTCCCTCCTGGAATAAATTCTCGTCTAGTGTAATCCCTCCTAAAATTTTGTCCTCTCTCTCTGTATTCCTGAGTTTCTCGATGTCTATAATTCTCTTGTGACCTTCTTGCTCTTCTTTCCTGTATCCGTGATGCCCTTATTTGTAGGAATTGGCATAAACTATCGATATCTTTGTAGTTTTGTAAATTTATGTGGTCTTCCATTGTGTCTTCAAAGTGTCTTGCAATCAACTCGACTAATTGCTCAGATGAATAATTGTATTGCAGATGTTTTGCGTTATTGTACATTTGCAATGCGTATGTTTTTTCTGATATACCCATCTTCTCATGGTATTTCCCATTTTGCAATTCCTTATTTATCTGTAATTGCTCTGTCTTTCCCCAGAAAAAACTCAGAAATTTGTTTTCAAATTCTTGCCAATTTTCAAATTCCTCCACTTTGCTGTCAAACCATAGACTTGCCTCATCTTTGAGATGATTTCTGATAACTTCCTTAGCTGTCTCAAAATTTCCCATGTATTGTATCTTCTTCTTTAGATTATTCATGAACGGTACGGGGTGTAGTTTTCTTACATCCCCGCCAAACTGTATTTTTATTTCGCCGGAATTCTGGATAACTATTTCTCTTGTTTCTCCGACTCTATTTTGGTGTCTTATTTCCTTAATTAAATTTTCATTCCGTTTCAATCTTATTTCTATTTCTTCCTTATCTTCTTGCAGAGCGTTTTCAAACTTTGTTTCTAACTCTTCTAATTCCTTTTCCATTTTGTTTTTCATTTTTTTAATTTCCACCTCTTGTTCTGCCATTTCTTTTTTAACATTCTCTAAGCAACTTTTAACTTCTTTTATCACTTGTTGTGTTTCCTGTCGGTTTTTTTCTATTGCTTGTTTCGTTTCACGTTGATTTTCTTCCATTCTCTTGTGAGTTTCTCTTTGATTCTGTTCCATTGTTTTATCCACTTTATCCATTTTTTGCATCATTATTTGTAACATTTTCTCTATTCCTGACAATTCCTGTTGTTCTGATGCCATGATTGTTGTTTCAAAAATGTCTTCTTGTTCTATATGTTCTTCTTGTTTTTTGTTTTCTTTGCTTTTGCTTCTCGTGATCGACATGTAGTTCAAATTTATCCCCGCCTGATATGAAACTCTTAAATTTGTGCAATAATATCCCCGCCAAATATGAAATTCGAGTAATGTTGCAAAGACGAAAAAATTTTTCTCTTATCCCAAATGCAATAAATTTAAATAAATGCAATAAAATTTAAAACTTTTGTCAATTGTAAAAATCAATCAAATATAATAAAATATATCATGCAAAACTTGTACCTAGAGAAATTTGAAATGTTATGTCATAAAATGCAGTTATTATAAACTTTGACCATCGGAAATAAATTCTCAATCAACCTGCTTTCTTTCCCTATCCTTTTAAATTCCAACTAGAAATACTTTCTAAGCCCCACGTTGGGCGCCAGTTGTTATGATTTTGTATTTTTGATTTTAATTTATT